GCGTGCGAGGTGCAGCACGGGCGAAACAGTGGCAGTAGAGATCGCGCATACAAACTCTCCGCCCCCGCTGCTCCCCAGTTCTTCTGTAGTTAGCGTGTGTGTAAGGGTCGCTTTCCTCCCGAGCTTCCCGTGGGAGGCCGCGCGCGTGTCGTCCCGTCAGCAGCCACTGAATCCGCCACGCTCCTCCCTACAGATACACTTGCTGCAGTTCCACGGAACCAAGTACGCGGCCATCGACCCGTCCATGGTCAGTGCCGAGGAGCTCGAGGTGCAGAAGGGCAACCTCAGCCTCAGCCAGGAGGAGCAGTAGCTGCGGCTCCCGCCGTGGGTGCCGAGGCGACCCGACGTGTCCTTGTGCGGTCGGCGACCCGGCCTCCCGGCGCGGCAGGCTCGCCGGTCCTCCGTGCGTCTGGGAAGCAGGACTGATCACATCCGGTGAAGCCCGCGCAGCGGTCCCCTCTTTGGTTTTTAGCTTCGGAGTCCAGGAAGTTCTTTGCAAGACGCCCTTTTAAGGGTTGTGAGAACTGTGCTACCGGAAGTCCTCACCACTGTGTTCTTGAGCGAATGTCGATTTCTGAGGCTTGGGATTTTGTGAACTCTTCTCTCCTTTCTTTTCCTTTTCTTTCTCCCTCCTTTCTTCTTCCTGCTTTTTATGTTATTTTCTGTAAGTGCCGCACGTGCCGACTGTGTGTCAGAAGGACGTTGGCTGCCGTTAGGCCTTCCTGGGTGTGACCGCGTCCGAGGGCCAGGGCTGGCACCCCACTGGGTGCGCTCCTGTGACCCAGCTGCTTTCACTTTCCAGCTCAGCACATGTTCCGAGTGCCCGCTCTTGTCTTTCTAGATGATTACAGTCATTTGGAATAAAAATTCGATTTCAATGAGTGTCTTGTAATCATTGTCACTGCCCAGGCAGGACTTTGGAGAAACGGTGCTGTGTGGCTTTGGGAGGTCACTCCGTACCCCTAAAGCAGTGTGCTCAGCACAGAACAACAGTAGCTGTTGGGCACGGAGCCACTGCTGCGTGCCAGGGACTTCCGTCAGTCTGTCTTTGCCCTGAATAGAAGTTGTCCACACACCTCACAGAGGATGGTGGACTGGGCCTGTCCTGTCACTCCTGGGCAGCTCTGTTTCTTCTCCAAGCAGACCCCCAGGACTCCCCCACGGCCTCCCAGCCTGGATTATCTCGAGCGCATTTCTGATGGGACATCCGTCTGTGAGTGTTTGCGCATGTGCTCTGAGGAGGGAGAGCAGCAGGAATGGCACTGGCACACGTCACGGGTGCCCAGGACCTCGTCCATTTCCTCTCACGTCTATCAGTGCCCCCTCCCCATTACCCGTCGCTGGGTTCTCAGAGCTGACTTGTCCTAGTCGTGCGCCGTATACGGGCTACACTTGGTATTTGATCAGATGTCTCCTGAACTCTTAAACTGTGCGTTCTCCCTCCGCGTTTTCTTGCTGTGTGTTCAGAGAAGCCCCAGCGTCTGCATTTGGCTGGCTGCAGCCTCGCGGCGCCCTCCGACTTATCTGTCCCTGCTGTTTCCTATAAACTGTTAGTTAGCTCTGGGGCCTGGGGCAGGTCAGGCTTGACCTAGGCAGGAACACTTCCTGGGTGTGGCTGTATGCTTGCTGCGTTGCTTTGGGAAGCACGTGGTGTCTGGTTGTCTCTGCGTGTTATGATTGCTCGGTGGGTTCAGGTGCTGGCGGCCAGATCCCTTCATGAGAAAGTGCCCATCCTGGCGTGGATGTATCGGTTCCTCAGGGTACGCAGAACAGTGCTGGTGCTCTACTCTTCCTCATTCCTTCTGAATGTGTTTATTTATTCATTTTTTATTTACTTTTAAAGATTTCGTTTGAGGGGTGCTGTGGTGTAGAGGGTAAAGCTACCACCTGCAGTGCTGGCATCCCATATGGGCATCGGTTGGAGACCCAGCTACTCCGCTTCCCATCCAGCTCTCTGCTATGGCCTGGGAAAGCAATGGAAGACGGCCCAGGTCCTTGGTTCCCTGCACCCGTGTGTTAGACCCGGAAGAAGCTCCTGGCTCCTGGCTTTAGATTGGCCCAGCTCCAGCCATTGTGGTCATTTGGGGAGCAACCCAAAAGATGAAAGGTTCTTTCTGTCTCTCTCTCTGCGTCTTTCTAATTCTGCCTTTCAAATAAATAAATCAATCTTTTAAAAAAAATTTCATTTATTTGAAAGGCAGAGAGTGACAGAGAGAGGGAGAGAAGGAGAAAAAGAGATCTTCCACCTGCTAGTTGACTCCCCAAATGGCCACAATAGTTGGGGCTAGTCTGGGCTGAAGCCAGAAGCCCAGAACTCCATCTGGGTCTCCCAGGTGGTTGGCAGGGACCCAAGCACTTGAGCCACCTTCCCGCAGCTTTCCTAGGCGCATTAGCAGGGAGCTGGATCCAAAGAGGAGCAGTTGGGACTCTGATGTGGACGCCAGCATTGCAGGCAGCAGCTTAACCCACTGTACCGTAAGGCCAGCCCCCTGATTTTTTTTTTTTTTGATCTATTTTTATTTTTAATTGCCTTCTGAATGTATTAGCTGGGATTTTCTGATTTGTGTGCACACACACACACACACACACACATACAACCTTTCCCCCCTTGCTGCATGGTTTCTCTAAGATCCAACCTGGGCAGGAGAATAAGCCTCAGAGCTGCTCACACACACACACACACACACACACACACACACCTTCTATCCTGTGGCTCACTCCCCACCCTAAATGCCCGCCACAGCTGAGGCTGGGCCAGGACAAAGCTAGGAGCTCAGACCTCAATCCTGGCCTCCCACGTGGGTGGCAGGGACCTAACTACTTGAACCATTGCCTGCTCCTTAGAAAGAAGCTAGAATCAGGAATGGAGCCATTACTCAAACCCAGGTACTCCAATACTGGGTGCTAAGCCAAACACCTGCCCCAGGTCCCCAGTTTTTTGTGCCCATGAGTCACAGCATCAGTCAATTAATTGATCTGACAACTGCTGGTGCTGAGCCTCTCCCCCACCAGTCCAGGCACTGCCCAGGGCAAGCTTCTGTTCTCTGTACTGCTCCCAGGAGACTGCCCGGCCCAGAGGCGCTCCGTGAGTGGGGTTGCTCTCAGGGCGAATGTGTGACAGCTCATCCGACTTGAAGTTCTGCCCTAGATTTCCTAAACAGAAGAACCAAGTGTTGGGTTTGAGGGATTTATTTCAATATTTCAGTTTCATTCAAGAACTTGCTTGTCTATCTCAGAAAAACAACACAGCTTGTAAGATTTACTCAGATAAATGACTTAAGTCCACGTGGTGCAAAATAGCTTTCCCAAATGGAATAGATGGGTTGATTTTTAAAATCCTGCTCTCTGCTATGGCCTGGGAAAGCAGTAGAAGATGGCCCAAGACCTTGGGCCCCTGCACCCACATGGGAGACCTGGAAGACGCTCCTGGGTCCTGGCTTCGGATCGGTGCAGCTCCGGCCGTTGTGGCCAATTGGGGAGTGAGCCATGGGATGGAAGACCTCTCTCTCTCTCTCTCTGCCTCTCCTCTCTCTGTGTAACTCTTTCAAATAAATAAATAAATCTTAAAAAAAAAAAAAAAAAGCATGTGGCACAGTGGTTGCTCTGCCTGCGTTCCATATCAGAGTACTTGGTTTGAGTTCCAGCTCACTCCTAATTCCAGTTTCCTGCAAGTGCAGGCCCTGGGAGGCAGCAGGTAATGGCTCAAGTACATGGGATGGGGCTCTGGCTTTACAGACATTTGGGGAGGGAAACAGTAGTAGTAGATCTGTTGATCTATCTCTGTCTCTCTGAATTTCAAATAAATAAAAGATATATATTTAGAGTCTCTTTTCATAACTTTAGTTTTTATAGCGGCTTTTAGTTGACAGAAAAATTGAACAGATAGTGCAGAATTCCCCTAAATCTCTTTTCTTTTTTTAAAAAAAGACTTATTTTATTAATTTGAAAGGCAGAGTTAGAGAGAGAGAGAGAGAGAGAGGTCTTCCATCCACTGTTTCACTCCCCAAATGGCTGCAAGGCCATGGCTGAGCCAGGCTGGAGCCAGGAGCTTCACCACATGGGTGGCAGGGGCCCAAGGACTTGGGCCATCTTCCACTGCTTTCCCAGGTGCATTAGCAGAGAGCTGGATTGGAAGTGGAGCAGCCAGGACTTGAACCAGCACCCATGTGGGATGCTGGCACTGCAGGCAGAGGCTTAGCCCTCCTTGCCACAGCGCTGGCCCCCGAAATCTCTTTTCACAGCAGTTACTGCAGTTAACATTTTTTTTTTTTTTTTGACACGCAGAGTGGACAGTGAGAGAGAGAGTCAGAGAGAAAGGTCTTCCTTTGCCGTTGGTTCACCCTCCAATGGCCACTGCCGCTGGCATGCTGCAGCCAGCGCACTGTGCTGATCCGATGGCAGGAGCCAGGTGCTTCTCCTAACATTTGCATCCCAGTGGTACATCTGCTGCAACTGATGACCAGTACTGACACATTATGAACTAAAGCCCATGGCTGACAGCAGGGCTCAGTTTGTGCGCATCTGCATCTGGGTTCCATGGGTCTGACAAACGCACAGCGTCAGGCACCCCCCACTAGCGTGTCACCTGGAACAGCTTCACTGCCCTAAGACCCACGGGCCCCCCTGTGCCTCCCCCTCCCACCCTCCCTGCCCCAGGCCCTGGCAACCACTGACCTTTCCTTGTCTCTGTAATTTTGCCTTTCCAGAATGTCATGTCCTTTAGTTGTGAATAAATAATACACATTTCAAAACTCAAAAAGGGACCATGAGAACTCTCTCTCCCACCCCTCCCCTATCCTCCTGCCCCAGGCAAACCACTTACATTAGCTTCCCAGCCTCTGTCGAGCTGTTCTTTATCCCAGTATTAGCAGCGGGAAGTATATTCTTAGTTCCCACATTTAGGAAGACACTGTATGTGCTGGTCCTGCGATGTTTTTCCCCTTCGTTAGTCCTGGAACTCTTTCTGTAGCAGAACTTGGAAAGCATTTTTTTTTTTTTTTTGAATTAGTGTATGAGTCAGCTGTCTGTCAGTCCAGTGAAATACCCAAGACAACTAACTTTGTAAAGTGAGCAGGTTTATTTAGCTCTCAGCTGTATTTAGTCCAGGACTGGTGGCTCCATTGGTTTGGCCTCGGAGGAGGGCAGCAGGCGGTAATGGATCCCGTGCTGAGCAGACAGGAAGCAAAGTGGCAGGCCCAGACTCGGGTTTTTATACAACCTTCTCTGAGACCTGCCTTCCATGACACGCGCCCAGTGATCCCCGGCCAGCCCCTGAACACCACGATTGGATCACATTTCCACCTTCTTACTCCTGTTAACTTACATCTTTGGGGGCCCGATCATAGTCAGGTTGTGGCGGCTGGTGAGCAGTTCCCGGCTCGTTCCACCCGTCCCCTGTGGAAGGCTGCTTGGATCCTTTCCGGTCATTTGTTTTTCCAAACAATATGGCAGCAAGTACTGGCATTTATCTGTCCTTTTGAACACATACAGGTGCATCCTACAAGTGGGACTGCTGGGCCGAGGGGAAAGGCGTTTATAATTTGGATAGATAATGCCCAGCTGCCTCTCAGGGGATTTTCCCACGTGCGCCCTCCACCCTGGAGCCCCACAGTGCTGTTCCACAGAGCGGACGCGTTGTATGGGGCTTGGGAAAGTGAGGAGGGCAGGGAGTTGTCTCGTGGCTCAGCTGCTGGGGGGTCGCCAGCATCCACACTGGAACACCTGGATCCAACCACTGAGCCTGGCTCTGCTTCCCACCGGTGCAGACCCTGGGAGGCAGCCATGATGGCTCTCTCCCCTTGGCCTCCCAAAGAAATAGAGGTATTTTTTAAAAATTCAGAGGAATGACGACTAAAAGCAATTTGTCATCCTGGGCAGCAGAACGACCTAAATGGTTCAACTAAAAAAATTTGAATAACATCTGCAGATTAATTAATAACTGTATCATTATTAATTTCCTAGCTTTGAAAAATTATACTATAGCTACGTAAGAAGTCAGTATTTGAGGAAGCTGTGTGAGGAGCATTCAGAAACTCTTTGTATATTTCTGTAAATTTTTTGTAAGTGGAATGACCTCAAAATAGTTTTAAAACTTTTACAAATTATAATACAAGAGGGAAAAATGAGGACTTTCAACGTGTAGAAGTAATCTGTAAATAGAAATAGCTGTGGAGTAAGCATGGCATTGTTTTTTTCTTTTTTGTAAGATTTTTAAAATGTATTTGAAAAGCAGAGTTACAGAGAGGGAGAGACAGAGATCTTCCACCTGCTGGTTCACTCCCCACATGGCCACAGCAGCCAGGGCTGGGGCAGGCAAAAGCCAGGAGCCAGAAGCTTCATCCGGGTCTCCCTGCACCTGGGCCACGTTCCGCTGCTTTCCCAGGCCATCAGCAGGGAGCTGGATGGGAAGTGGAGCGTGGCGTTCTAAAAGCCGGTGAAGGGAGTCACGGGCAGTCCATTCCGGAAGTGATGGCTGGGCGGACTGCTGGGTTTGGCACTGACCTCGGTGCCCGATCGGCAGTGTGACCTGGGAAACGCGCAGCTCCTCCTCGGGCCGTGCTGTGCTCCTGCTAAGATGTGCCCTTAAATGGCAGCCCTCTTCCGTTGAGGTGGCCCCACACCCAAGGGCCGGCCCCTCCAGTCACATGGCTGCGCACATCCTGGGGCCGCTTGGCTCTGCGTTTGCCTTCTTCCTCATGCTTTCTGCAAAAGACAAGACTTCTGTGGCCTCGTGCGGCCTCAGCGCTGCCTCCAGGGTGGGTAGTGTGCTGGAACTGCCTGCCAGAGTGTGTGCTAAACAAAGGTGCAACAATTATATTTAAGAGCATTTCGAAAAATTTAAAATCATCCCTAATTCCTCCACCCCAAAATGCCTTCTTGCTTTCCCACCTTGCCCGTGTGTGGCAGTTGGGGGGAGAGGTGCCATGCTGGGACGTGCTCCAGTGTTTGTCCCTGTTGTCTCCTACCTAACATGCCAGCCACCCGCGACTGCTTGATCAACCATCCTGTGCCCCGCAGTGCGCCTGCCGACACACAGTGCAGTGTTGAAGGTTTTTCTTTTCCTTTTTTTCTTAGCATGAGCCGACTTTGCTTTGATGGAATTTAGTGCTGGAGCGTCTATCACAGGACGCCCTGCCTACCAACTCAGGCTTTGGGGTTGGCCACCAAATAGCTTGTGCAGACTTCAGAAGTTTTACTGAACAAGATCTGACTGGTTCAACTCAAATTCTTATCCCAAGCTCTATCAAAATATAGTGGGCTGCCAAGGATGAGACCGCAGGGGCTTTGGGGACTGGGACGGTTACAGGGTTCATCTGGGGAAACCCGGGGCCAGGAGTCACCGTGATTCACCCAAGGGTCTGCCTGAGGGCTAGGGCAGGAACCTGGGAGGTTTGACGCCCAGGCTCTGAGCCGCCCGCTGAGGGCTCCGCCGCATTCCGACCGGGGCCCGGCAGAGGGCGCTCGTACCCGCCAGGTCCCGCCTGCCAATGGCCACGAGGCCCTGGAACAGCTCTCTGCCCGGGTTCTCGCCGGCGATGGCCACGCCGTGCAGCCAGATGAGCAACATCCTGTGGCCGTGCTCCTGGTAGCTCTTGGTGCCTGAGGACGATGAAGGGAGAGAGACGGGGAGTGGCGCCACGCCGGCCTCCTGACCTGCCCAGGCCTGAGCCAGCAGGTCCTGGCTCGGAACACGCGCCTCTCCGGCCGCCCGAGGACGCGCGGCGGACTGCGTGTCCGGTCCCCGATTGTCTCCGGCCCCAGGCTTCGGTGGGACGCCCGCGGGTGTCGCCCTGCTGTCAGAGCGGCATTGCCCACACTCGTGCCACGAGGTGCACTCACAGCAACCCGCGCTTGGCGTGGCAGCCGCCCCGATCTACAGATGAGAGACCTCGTGGGTCAGCCCGCGCCGCCCTCTGGAGAGCCCCGGGAAGCGGTGGGGCACAGCCACGCAGCCTGCGCGTTGGGGCGGCACAGCTGCGCGAACGGTTCCAGGAAACACCAGGGCTGGAGGTGGCGAGCGGACGGCTCCTGTTATTGAGCTCGGGGGACACGGGCAGATGTTGGGCCACGCCTTGGACGTCCTGCGACCTTGTCAGGGCACAAGGCAGGCGCTCAGCGAGGCGCCACCTTTGACCCCTGGCCGGCCCCTGAAATTAGCCGGTGCTGGATTATCAGGGATGAAAGTTGCATCTGTCAGGGAGGTTACTTTGAGATTCTGCTCAGTTTCATCAGTAGATTTGCATATTTTTGCACCCACTTCTCTGGATTGGTTATTTAGCTTGGAGCTAAAGCCTCTTTATTATTTCCCCCTCTTAAGAACATTCAGGCCGCGGCTCAATAGGCTAATCCTCCACCTAGCGGTCGGGGCGCCGGATTCTGTCCCCGTTGCCCCTCTTCCAGGCCAGCTCTCTGCTGTGGCCAGGGAGTGCAGTGGAGGATGGCCCAAGTCCTTGGGCCCTGCACCCCATGGGAGACCAGGAGAAGCACCTGGCTCCTGGCTTCGGATCAGTGCAGCGCGCCAGCCATGGTGGCCATTGGAGGGTGAACCAACGGCAAAAGGAAGACCTTTCTCTCTGTCTCTCTCTCTCACTATCCACTCTGCCTGTCCAAAAAGAAAAAAAAAATTCATTAGTGAATATTCAGACATTAGTGAATTTTCGACAGCTTCCTATTTTGATTTAAACTGATCAAACTTTTCATCTATTTGAGAGAAGCTGATATCTGTGTGTTACTTTTCTTGCCTGAAAATTAGAATGTCATTCTATTTACCTAAGTCTTCTTTTAGAATTCAACTAATTTTTTAAAGAATTCTTATTTTCTTTTGTGTTTGAAAGGCACAGAGACAGGCAGAGAGAGGTCCTCCATCCGCTGGTTCACTCCCCAGATGCCAGCAAGAAGCCAGGGCAGGGTGGGCCAGGCTGACAGGAACCCTAGCCCCTGAGCCATCACCGGCTGCTTCCCAGGGTGCGTGCACATGAGTAGGAAGCTGGGTCAGAATCAGAGCAGTCAGAACTGGAACCGAGTTTCCAGTATGGAGTGTAAGACACGAAGGGGCAGTGCTTTCCCAATACCCACTCCTGTTCAGCGAATTTTTGTTTTATCCATTCGTGTCACTCATGTTCGTGTCATCCATATTTGTCTTTGTCAAACGAAACCCATGCACTGTTGTGAGCAGGAGCTATCTTGGAGGCCGGCATTGTGGCCCAGCCGGTTAAGCCGCTTGTAACACCAGCATCCCATATGGGCGTCGGTTCAAGTCCCAGTTGCTCCACTTCTGATCCAGCTCCCTGATAATAGGCCTGGAAAGCAGCAGAAGATGGCCCAAGTGCTTGGGCCCTGCCACCCATGTAGGAGACCTGGAGGGAGCTCCTGGCTCCTGGCTTCGGCCTGGCCAGCCCCAGACGTTGCAGCCAATTGGGGAGTGAACTAGCAGATGGAAGATCCCTCTCTCTCTCTCTCTCTGATACTCTAGCTTTCAACCAAATCTTTTTAAAAATAAAAAAGCTTTTAAGAAGATCTATTTTGAAAGATCCAGTGTGCCTTTCCCCATGTATTGGTGGCACCTGGGCACACTAGGCCATTTCATTATTAGCTCAAAGGGTTTTCAGCTGATAAAGCTAAGCTTCCTGGTTTTGCACTGATAGCATGAAACGAACAATCCTCTCTTCCTGTCCGGTATCCACACTCCTTTTTGTATTTCCTTCCCATGCCTTGTGCCAAGGCCGACATTCCCAAGTAGGGCATCCCGTGTAGCGGCCAGAGGGGACCTCTTCCCTTTAGCAGGAGTGCCCTGGGTGCAGCGTAAGTGGCGGAGACTGGGTCAGGCTGGCGGCGAGGCACCCGCAGGTCCCCGGGAGGGACAGGCAGAGCAGCCTGCACAGGGGGAGTGGTGCACGCGGGGAGCGTGGGCTGGGCTGGCTCCCCAGAAGCACACGTGTCCCCAGCCCGCGCCCGCCAGCTGCCCTGGGGCAGTACCTGTCCACTGCTGCTCGATGGCGTCCAGCTGGGCCTCGGTGAACTCCCAGGCACGCGCCAGCCTCTTCCACTCGTGGGGCCGCAGCCGCCTGGACGCCAGGCGCCACAGCTCGGAGCGCAGCTGCTGCGTCTCCTGCCGGTGGTCCTGCCTGAAAGTCAGGCTCTTCCTCGGGGGCTCCCGGGGGTCCCTGCCCGGCAGGCGCTCCTGGGAGGGGCAGATCCCAGACGAGCAGAAGCTGAACGGCCGTGATGCAGGGCCGGGCAACTCAGGGCTCAGCCCCTCATCCCGCCCTCCGTCTCTGCTGTCCTCGGCTGGGGCGCCTGGGCTGGCCCTCACTGTCCACTCCTCTGGCTCTAACTACAGGTGTTGCCTTGCCCTCTGCAACTCCAGCACTGCTCCCCCTACCCCCCGCCAAAACCCTTTTTTCATCTCCTTGTCCCCCAAATCCCTTTGCCATAAGTCAAAAGATCACCCACAGGCCATCTCTTCCAGGGAGCCTTCCCAGATTTCTCTGACCAATTGCCTGTCTTTTCTCAGTGTTCTTGTATTATGAGTGCCAACCAGAGTGGGTCTCAAGCTGCAGCCAAAAGCAGACAGGCCAAGAACCAGGCTTGTGGAATCCCAGCAAGCAGTAAAGGGAGGGGCTTCAGAATTTTTTCTATGCAAGACAGACGATAAAATCAGAGGTTACAATAGAAGGAGGTGAAGGCATGAATTAAGCCTAAGCCCCTCTAAAGGGAGTGGATGTGGAGTTCTGGTTGGTAGAAAGTTCAAGGTGGAAAAACCCACCCTGGCATCTGCAGCTCCAGATCTGACTTCCTGGCTGACACCTGTCACCCGTGAGGTGAGGACCTAGGAGTGGGCTCCCACCTGGGGTGTTAAACACTGGTCCTTCAGGGCAGTGTTCTTTAAGACAAAATGATTTGTTATTTACTTGAAAGGCAGAATTACAGAGAGAGGAGGGAGAGAGAGAAAGAGAGAGCAAGAGAGAGAGAGAGAGAAATCTTCCATCCACTGGTTCACTCCCCAAATGGCCACAATGGCCAGGGCTGGGCCAGGACAAAGCCAGGAGCCAGGAGCTTCCTCTAGGTCTCCCATGTGGGTGCAGGGGCCCAAGCACTTGGGTCATCTTCCGCTGCTTTCCCAGGTACATTAGCAGGGAGCTGGATCGGAAGTGGAGAAGCCGGGACTTGAACCAGTGCCAATATGGGATGCTGGCTTCACAGGTGGAGGCTAAACCTGCTATTCTGCAGCGCAGGGCCCAGTGCAGTGTCCTAAGCCCCAGCTGTGGGCTGTTTTCTGGGAGCTTGAAGAACTACTGATGCTTGAGGCTGACGCTGTGGCACAGTGGCTTTAGCTACCACCTGCAACACGGGCATATGAGCACCAGTTCAAGTCCCAGCCACTTCACTTCCAGTCCAGCTTCCTGCTAATGTGCCTGGGAAAGCAGCAGAAGATGGCACAGGTGCTTGGGCCCCTGCACCCACGTGGGAGACCCAGAAGAAGCTCCTGGCTCCTGGCTTCTGTCTGGCCCATATGGGATGTGGCCATTTGAGGAATGTACCAGTGTATGAAATATCAATTCATTCTTTCTCTCTTTCTCTCTCTCCTAACTGTGCCTTTCAAATAAAACAAACAAAAAAGACTTTTAAAAAAAGGGTAAAGGAAAAAAAGGCCTATTAAGCTGGAAGTGATTCAGAATGAAGCAGAGATGAGTCGGGTCGGCAGACCCTCAGCGGATTACACTGAGGGTAACCTGCTGTACGTAAAGAGGCCGTAGTGTCTAAGAGAACCTGGCACACCAGTTCAAGAACCATCTTGTGACGCTCTGGACTCTGTCAGCAATCACTTTGGAATAATGATTCTTATTTGAGAGGTATAAGAGAAGTTGACTAAGTTTGTAGACCCCAAAACCTTATGCAGTGCATGTTTGTATTTTTAGGTTTAATTTCATGGATTTACTAGGATAATTTAAGAATTCAGGGAGTATTTGAAGTTCATTCAACTTTAAATATTTAGGATCATTTAATTTACTAAGTTTAGACATAGGACCAAGCAATAGTGAAAAAGCTTCCTTTATAAAATAAATGTAAAAGTTTAAAGAAGACGTTTTAAAATTTGTAACTTAAATTTTATATTAGTTATGAAAACTCAACAAATGCAAAAAGATATTTTTTGTGTATCAAAATGCTTATTTTTGGTACCCAGGATACCAAAAACTGTCTTAGCTTGTATCCAGGGTACCGCAAGCACCCGCCCCAGAGTCGCTGGCCGCCACACCCCCTGCCTGCCCTGCACTCTGTGGCTCTTCTTTCCCAAGCACACAGCAGACATCACTAATCGATCCTAGCACACGTTCCTCTGGGCTCAGAAAGTTGCCTGAACACAACCCCACCAATCCCCTGGAGATGGCCGTGAGGCAGCACTAACCGGGGTCTCCCTTCACCCCTGCATGCACACACGCACGCATTCATCAGTCAGCAGCTACGGCAGGGCCCCATGGAGTCTCCACACGGGCACTGCCTTCTGACTGCTCCTATCAGTGTGTGGAAGAACATCCGGACAACCCAGGGGGTGCACCAGGCAGGGACTGTCACCCACCGGTCAGAACTGGATCCAAAGCCCGCTCCAGCCAGAGCCTACATACCTTCTCCCATCTGTAGAAGCGATCAGCCTTTATGATCATGTCCACCAGGCTGACATGGTTGCCACGGGCAGCCACTGCCAGGGCGGTTTTTCCTTGCTGCAGGGAAGAGGCGAGAAGGGAGCTGGGGTTTGCAGAGGAGGGGTGCAAGGTGCCACCCCAAGGACAGACCCTCCTGCCCAACGCACTTCCCACGAGTCTACACCCACAGGGATGTGGAAAAGTCCGTAGTAATAAAAACAACAGCAACAATAATTTAAAATAAAATAAATTAGAATTTTAAAATAACAGAAATAAGTTTAAAAGGCAATAATAATAGTAATTCTGGCACCACCTCTTGCAATTCTTCAGTGTGCAGGAAGCTTTAGAGCTTGGGAAACGCCTCCTATTTGCAGTCCCCAACCTCACCAGGCAGAGGCGCCACCACTCCGGTACTCAGGAAGCGAGGCCCAGGGCAAGGGCGTGCGCTGAGCCCAGCACCCTCGCCCATCTCCTGCCAGGCGCCAGGCCCTTTGCTCACCCCCTGCGGATAGGGAGGGGCTCTTTGCATCTGGCTGCTGACCCTGGCCCAGCTCGGAGCAGTCCAGCCTCAGGCCTGCTCCCGGCCTCCAGCTCTGGCCCTCCCCATCCCAGACCGGCCTCCTGCCCCTCACTAGCCGGTGGCCTCCGAACTCACAGCAGCACCCGGCTCTCCTGAAGCCTGAGGAAGTAGCTGCCCTGTGCAGTGACCTGCACGGCCCCCCAAGCCCTGTCCCACACGGAGCAGGGATGGGCAGCCACGGGGGACTTGTTCTCCTCCTTCCACTCCCCACAAGCTGACTGAAGGAGCTCACAGCCTGATGGGGGCCAGGAAATAGAAAAGGCCCAGGGGCAGGGCCAGGGCCGGGGGACCCAGGAAGACTGCCTGGAGGAGGCTGCTTTTGAGCTGTCGTATTTTGAGGATTGAACAACCTGAGGGGGAATGAGGAGGAATGTTTGCACTGGTAGCAAAGAGGGAGGGTTGAAGGTCTGAAAGGCAGGCAGGTAGCAAGCACAGGTACCTTATCTCTCAGGCTCAGGTCAACCCCCGCGACCAGGAGCAGCTCGGCGACCTCCTGGCAGGCGAGCTCAGCGGCCAGGTGCAGGGGCGTCTGCTGCCTCTAGGGAGGGAGCCAAGGGGACGGGTGAGCAACCGTCCGTCCGGCAGGGGTGGCCCGAAGCTCAAAGTCAGGACCACCCACGGGGAGACGCTCCCAATGGGCCAGCACAATCTTCCATAAGAAGTTACTGTGTGTTGGGGCCTAGAAGGCTAAGCCTCCACCTGCAACACCAGCATCCCACAGGGGCACCGGTTCGAGTCCTGGCTGCTCCACTTCTGATCCAGCTCTCTGCTAATGGCCTGGGAAAGCAGCGGAAGATGGCCCAAGTCCTTGGGATCCTGCACCCACAAGAGAGAGCTGGAGGAAGCTCCTGGCTCCTGGCTTTGTCCTGGCCCAGCCCTGGCCATTGTGGCCATTTGGGGAGTGAACCAGCAGATGGAAGATCTCTCTGTCTCTCCCTCTCTCTCTGTAACTCTACCTTTCAAACAAGTAAATAAATCTTAAGAAAGAGGAAGGAAGGGAGGGAGGGATGGAGGGAGGGAGGGAAAGACGGAGGGAGGGAGGGAGAAAGGAAGGAAGGGAGGGAGGGAAGGAGGGAGGGAGGGAGGGAGGGAGGAAGAAGTTACTGTGTTGGGGCTGGGGGTGTTGAGTACAGGTAGCTGGGTTTAATCATAACATAACACTCACCAGAGACTTGGTGAAAACAAAGTAGAAAGAAGAAAAACAAAAATCAGAAACAGGAGCAGAATCGCGCTACAGCAGGTTAAGCCGTCGCTTGGGACGCCCACCTCCCACACCAGTGCCTCGATCCAAGTCCCGGTGACTCTGCCCTTCCTGCTCGGCTCCCTGCTAATGCACCTGGGAAACAGCAGATGACAGGCCAAGGGCTCGGCCCCTGCCACCCACATGGGAGACGGAGCTGGAGTTCCTGGCTGCTGGCTTCCACCTGGCCCAGCCCCAATTTTGCAGGCATTTGGAGAGTGAACCAGTGGATAGATGATAGCTCTCTTTCTCTCTCTCTCTCTCTCTCTCTCACTCCCCCCTTCCCTCCCTCTCTCTGAGTCTTTCAAATAAAATAAATAAATGTTAAAGAGAAAGAGACTGGTCCACCACCCAAGTCAAATCCCCTAGTGACCCTAGTCTACTTCCTCCAGTCTTTTCTGAAATGCAGAATGTCTTCAGTTTGTAGGTTTTATATATATGAGATCATCTGTATATACAGTGTACATCTCATTTTTCTACCTCATACTTTTTGTGTATTATAAGCTCTGTTAAACATCATTTTTAAAAAAAATCCATTCATTTATTTGAAAGTCAGAGATAAAGAGAGAGGGAGAAGACAGAGAGAGAGAAAGATAAGGAGAAAGATGTTCTACCTGCTGGTTCACTCCCCAGATGGCCACAACAGCCAGGGCTGAGCCAGGCCGAAGCCAGGAGCCAGGAGCTTCCTCCAGTTCTCTCACATGGGTGCAGGGGGCCAAGTACCTGGGCCAGGTTCCACTGCTGTCCCAGGTGCATTAGCAGGGAGCTGGATCGTAAGTGGAGCATCTGGGGACATGAACCAGCACCCATATGGGAAGCCAGCATTGCAAGTGACAGCTTTACCCACTATGCCACAATGCTGGCCCTGCTAAACACCATTTTAACAACTCCAGAATGGCCTGTGTTTATGTCTGACCATCATGTACTCAAGTGCTTCTTTATTATTTTGAGATATTTGGGTTATTTTCAAATCGAGGACTGACAGACCGTGCTGCCGTGAATACCTTTGTGCGCGAGCTCCTAGTACACTTCCCGAGGCTCGGTTCCCGGGGTGGCAGGTGGGGCAAGTGCCGGTCACCGTCAAGACGGCCAATCTGTCCTGCCAAGTGGCTCTGCGCTGCCAGCACTTGCCTGCACCGTGGCCTTGCTGGCACTGAGCAGGGTGCGCTTGGGGCATGGGTTAGGAGCAAGGACTTCAAAGGGATCTTTACTGATCGCAGCTTCAGACCCAAGGTCTTCTTGTTACACAAAAATGCCCCAGTGGCTCCCATCCTGGGAATTTTCCCTAAGGAAAAACACTGAGGAGAACACCCGGCCGGCTGTAGGGAGATGTCTACTACAGTGTCTGTATCTCTTGGCAAAAACTCAGAAAACAACCACAGCGCTAAAGTGAAACGAGGCCACCTCCAACAGTGTTCGGACAGCCTTTTACACTTCACGCAGCAGTTGCTCAACTCTGGGCCCTGCTGAGACCTGCAGGCCTGGGAGCAGCCCACTGGCTGCCGGGGGGCCACTTACGTTGTCGGTGGCGTCCAGGTCGGCGTGGGCATTGATGAGGAGCTGGACCAGGGCGGGGAAGTTGTGCCGCACGGCGAGGTGCATGGGCGAGGCACCCTGCTGTAAGGGGAACACAGTCAGCACCACGTGGGGACTGCCCAGGGCCGCCCAGCTCCAGGCTGGCTCCGGCAGGCAGCAGCAGGAAGCCATCAGGGCTTCCGGGTTCGGCTCTTCTAGCTTCTTAAGCCTTGTGGGTGGCCGGAGGCATTCCTAGCCCCGAAGCCTGAATCTCCAGGAGCCTAAATCTGATCCTCAAGGTGGGTGGGGTCTGGGTCTCCCAGCCTGAGACCTGCTGCGCCAGGGACTTGGAGAGACGCCCACTGTGTGACCGTGGCCAAGTCACTCCCCTTCCTCTGCTACTCCTCGTCTAGCAGGTGCTTGTCTAGGTCCCGTCTGGCAGCAGCACCTGCGGATCTTCTGCCCTGAAACCCACACACCCACCCAGGGAGTACACAGGGCTGGTGTTCTTTGTCACGTCTTTGTCACGTGGCCCAGAGGGACCATGTCTTTCGGGCCCTTGTCTCCCTCAACACGTAGGTAGGGGACAAATGTTTACATAGGAGATGAATGAATCAGCGAGCCAGCCAGGGCCACAGAGGACGCGTCCTCAAGTCCGTGCTGGGAACACTGTCCCCGCCAGTCCCCTGGGGCCCCGACTGAATGACAATGTAGACTGACTGCCACAGCGGCCCGCTCTTTAGGTGACACAGTGGCACGTACTGTGGAAGAGTGCCAGCCAACACCACTGATGGCATAGATCTGTATCTATGGAGGAAAAACACCCTCAAAGCCTGAGTGGAAGAAGGTTATAATACAGAACACACACACACACACATACACACACACACGAGTGTCCTCGATTCCATTACATGTTCAGGCCAGGGAAAGAAATTATTTTATCGATATTGGGGAAAAAAATCTTACTAATCCCACTGTTTGTAGGTGATGTGATTGCACTTGTATACGTAGACAAGTTGGAATAGTTGCTACCCTCCACCCAAAAAAGATACCTCTAGCAGAATCAAGATGGTCATATAGAAAACTACCCACATGACTAGTATGCAGCGTTGAAAGCCCGTAAGAAATGACACATTCAAAAAGATACTGTGTGCACAATGACAGGCACACAGCATGATGTATCCACGAACAGCGCTCTCGGGAGTGGATAAGGGCAAGCCAGGAGCTCTGGCAGCATGATGGCAAAGCGAGGCAAGATGCCTACTGAAGAGACGAAATGTCACAAGGATGACTCTCAACCACCGTGGGTTTCATGTGGTCCCAAACCAAGATGTCAAAAACCCCGGGAAGTTTCTGAGACACGTCCTACAAATTTAAAAAAAAAAAAAAAAAAAAAAAAAAAACAGGTAAAACTGCTATAGAATTTCAACAGCAGCTGTTGTGTGTGATGATGACCTAAGAAAGCAGTAGAGGATGGTCCAAGTGCTTGGGCCCCTATACCCACATGGGAGACCCACAAGAAGCTCCTGGCTCCTGGCTTTGGATCGGCACAGCTCTAGCCGTTGCGGCCAACTGGGGAGTGAACCAGCGGATAGAAGACCTGTCACTCTTTGTCTCTCCCTCTCTATCTATAACTTTTTTTTTTTTTTTTTGACAGGCAGAGTGGACAGTGAGAGAGAGAGACAGAGAGAAAGGTCTTCCTTTGCCGTTGGTTCACCCTCCAGTGGCCGCCGTGGCCGGTGCACTGCAGCCAGCGCACCGCACTGATCCGAAGCCAGGAGCCAGGTGCTTCTCCTGGTCTCCCATGGGGTGCAGGGCCCAAGTACCTGGGCCATCCTCCACCGCACTCCCTGGCCACAGCAGAGAGCTGGCCTGGAAGAGGGGCAACCGGGACAGAATCTGGTGCCCCGACCGGGACTAGAACCCGGTATGCCGGTGCCACAAGGCGGAGGATTAGCCTATTGAGCCGCGGCGCCGGCCTATATAACTCTTTCCAAAAAATAAATAAATAGAAAAAGAAATGTTCATTTTGAGATAACTGTAGGTTCACACGCAGTTCAGTAAAAACAGACTGATCTGGTGTATCTTTTACCATTTCCCCAGTAGTCACTCCATGAGTGTGTGTGTGTGCCTGTGTGTATGTATGTGTGCCTGTGTGTGTATATGTATGTGTGTGCATGTGTGTGTGCATGTGTGTGTATACGTATGTGTGTGTGTCAATGTGTGTGTTGTGTTCCATGCAGTTTTCTCCCACGTGCAGGTTCATGTATTTACCATATAGTCAAGACACAGGACAGCTCCCTCCCTACAAGAATCTCTAGTATGCTCCTTTGACAACCATTCTCTCCTCCATCCTCTATCCAACCCTCCATCCCTCACCCTAGCAACCACTAAGTAACTCTCCTTGGAGCCAGTGCTGTGGCGTAGTAAGTTAAGCATCCGCCTGTGGCACTGGCATCCCATATGGGCTCCTTTTCAAGTCCCGGCTTCTCCTCTTCCAACCCATCTCTCTGCTGTGGCCTGGAAAAGCAGCAGAAGATGATCCAGGTTCCTGGGCCCCTGCACCCATGTGGGAGACCCAGAAGAAGCTCCTGGCTCCTGGCTTCAGATCAGCCCACCTCTGGCTGTGCAACCATTTGGGGAGTGAACCAACAGATGGAAGACCTCTCTCTATGTCTCTCCCTCTCTCTCTAACTCTGCCTCTCAATAAATACATTTTTAAAATAGCTCTCCTTTTCTAGTTCATCATTTCAAGACTGTTATAAAAATGGAATCTCAGTGTATGTAAAGTTTGGAGCTGGCTTCTCACTCAGCATAATCCTCTGGGATCCATCCAAATGGCTCATGTGTGGACAGCTTCTTCCCTTCTGTTGCTGAGACATCCCACAGTGCTTTGAGTGTGTTCCCCAAAGTTCATGTGCTGGCCGGCGCCGCGGCTCAATAGGCTAATCCTCCGCCTAGCGGCGCCGGCACACCGGGTTCTAGTCCCGGTCGGGGCGCCGGATTCTGTCCTGGTTGCCCCTCTTCCAGGCCAGCCCTCTGCTGTGGCCAGGGAGTGCAGTGGAGGATGGCCCAGGTGCTTGGGCCCTGCACCCCATGGGAGACCAGGAAAAGCACCTGGCTCCTGCCTCTGCATCGGATCAGCGCGGGGCGCCGGCTGCAGCGGAGGGGCGAGGGGGACTTGGGGGGGAGAATGATGGAGGTGATCCAACGTGCCAAAAGGAAGACCTTTCTCTCTGTCTCTCTCTCTCCACTTGTCGACTCAGAAAAAAAAAAAAAAAAGTACATGTGCTGTCCCGAAATCCCCCCCCGACACGAATCCCCAGTGGAACAGGGTTGAGAGGTGGGACCTATAAAAAGTGCTTAGAGGGGCCGGTGCTGCGGCGTAGCCAGTAAAGCTGCCGCCTGCAGTGCCAGCATCCCATTTAGATACTGGTTCAAGGCCCGGCTGCTCCACTTCTGATCCAGCTCCCTGCTAAGGGCCTGGGAAAGCAGTGGAAGATGGCCCAGTACTTGGGTCCCTGCACCCACATGGGAGACCAGGAGGAAATTCTTGGCTCCTGGCTTCGAAATGGCCCAGCTCCGACCATTGTGGCCATTTGGGGAGTGACCCAGCGGACAGAAGACCTCGCTTTCTCACTGCTTCTGCCTCTCTGTAACTGCCTTCCAAATGAATCTTCAGAAATCAAAAGAAAGAGAGAGAGAAAGGGAGGGAGGGAAGGAGGGAGAGAGAGAGAAAGAAAGGGAGGGAGGGAGGGAGGGAGGAAGGAAGGAAGGAAGGAAGGAAGGAAAAATTGCTTCGGAAGGGTGGGGAACATCTTTTCTGCCCAGGGCCACCTGCTGTAGGTGTGCTGAATTTCGAGTACCCCCGCGGTTGCCTTGGCAGGGCCGGAGCACCTGATTTGGCCACTTCTGTGGCCGCAGGCTGGATGTTCTCACTCCTGGCTTGGACCATGAATGGATCAGTGCTGCGATTTGGGGAGTGGTTTTCTCTCTCTCTCAGTCCCTCTCCCTGTTTCTCCCTCCTCCCTCCACTATCGTGCCCTCCACCATGTTACAATGCAGGAAACCAATCCTCACCAGATGCCAGCCCCTCAATCTTGGACTGCCCCACTTCCGGGATTGTGAGAAATAAATGTATTTTCTTTATAAATTCCCCAGTTTCTGGCATTCTGTTACAGAAGTACAACATGGATTAAGATACGTGGTACAGATGTGCCACAGTTTGTGTTATCACTCACCTCTTGAAGGCTATCTGGATTGTTTCCAGTTTGGGGCTACGACAATCAGAGCCACTGTAAGTATTCGTGAACAGGGTTTTGTATGATTAGGAGTTTTCATTTGTCTGGCACAGATGCCCAGGAATGTGATGCTGGGTCGTGTGGGAACTGCATGCTTAGCTTTAAAATTTTTTTTTTAATTTTTTAAAATTTTTTTAATTTTTATTTTTTGACAGGCAGAGTGGACAGTGAGAGAGAGAGACAGAGAGAAAGGTCTTCCTATGCTGTTGGTTCACCCTCCAATGGCCTCTGCGGCCGGCGCACCGTGCTGATCCGATGGCAGGAGCCAGGTGCTTCTCCTGGTCTCCCACGGGGTGCAGGGCCCAAGTACTTGGACCATCCTCCACTGCACTCCCGGGCCACAGCAGAGAGCTGGCCTGGAAGAGGGGCAACCGGGACAGAATCCGGCGCCCCGACCGGGACTAGAACCCGGTGTGCCAGCACCGCAAGGTGGAGGATTAGCCTGATAAGCCATGGCGCCGGCCAGCTTTATAAGCAGCCCCTCTGCTGTTCTTCAGACTGACTGCTGCATTGCACATTGGCGCCAGCGATGCATGGGTGATCTAGTGTGGCCTTCCCTTGCCACCCTCGATGTTGTCACTGTTGCATTTTGCCCGTTCTGACAGGTGTGTGGTCCTCTCCTGGTGGCTCGACTGTGCTGCTCCAGTGGCTCAGGATGTCGAGGGTCTTCCCATGAGCTCGCTCGCCGCCTGCTCGTCCTCCTCGGACGAATGTCCCTTCCTGTCTGCTGCTCATTTCTGGAATGAATTTTTTACTTTTTAATGGTTGAGTTTTTATTCTTAGATCCTTTGTAAGATA